AGCCATCAATAAAATTAATTTTTGTTGTTGAAAAATAAAAAACCATTTGTGTATTTATTACAACTTTGTCCCTCATTTTAATTTTAATTCCCTAATTAGGAATATTAAATTGAGGACTTAATTGAGAAAAAGTTGATCATGATATTTGTGGCTCCCATGGATTGTTTCTAATATTCAACATGGTTGAGCTCATGTTGATGACCGAGTCACTCCATGATGGATTCACATCATAAAGTATGCTGTTGGTCCAGGACCTTGATATTAATAAACATTTTTTAAAGAGGGATGAATAACCAATGTGGTGAATTCAAACATTATTGGTGATTAAGATTTTTGAGAAATTTAGGTTCAATCTCTCTTCAAATGGTTAAAATGCATATTTATTATATCAAGGCGTCAAATGACTTGAAGCGAAGCGTCTCCAAAATTTAGATTAATGTGACATAGAAAAACTCCAAAGAGATATACTATGAGAAACAAAGACACCAAGCTTTCCATAAATTTTTCTCAACCATGCCTACATTTACTAAAGATGGTAGATTATGTAATATACTAAAAACAAATAAGCCATGATCATAATATACAACAAGAAAAAACACTTAGCGAGCCATGCCTCAACCCAAGTCTCATAGAAATAGGCGTTGAATTATAAACCTCATGTAGACCATTTGAGGTGTATGCTCAATTTTGTGAGGCAAGCCTAAAGTCACACCTCAAAGCATTTTTGATGGGGGGAAACTTCAAATTGATGATGTTAGGTTCTTCTAATTTATAATCCAAAAGTCTAAAATTAATTTATAAGTCACATGTTGTAAATATGGACCTATTTCATTAAAAAAGAATAAATAAATTAAAAAACTTTTGGGAAGGTTGCTTTTGTACTTTCTGCTTGTTTTGCTTTTTCAGCTGGCCATGGCTGAATTTAATCATTTTCAGGTTAATTCTGGATAACTTTATAAAGGTGCATATTGTTCTTGTTATTTTTGTGATTATTTTCTTGCATGTTTCTTATAGTGCAGGCTTTTGGATTTTGAATTTTCGAATGAGAAGGGGTGCTAATGACAATCTTTTGATCTTCTCAAAATTTTGTACTTGTGCTTAGTAGGGACCTTGAGCTCTTAGATTTTATTTTGATTTTTTTGTATCTCCTTGGAGCTATAGGGAGTTCAAGGTCCCTTTAAGAGCTTTGTAACCATTATTTTAATCAACGCATAGGCTCTCGATGGGTTTCCCTTAAAAAAATTGGTTACAAGGAGCTACACACTTCCACACCACAAGTAATTCACATGTCAACCCTGCTGTCGTGGTGATGATTCTTATGAAGACCCACAAACTGATGAAATGGTGGATACCTTTGGGTTCATAAATTATGATATTAGACTATATTTTTAAATTCAATTAAGAGTGGGGTAGAAACCTATGATTTAATGCTTAGAGCTTTTATATTGGTCTAGGATCTTACTTTAACTTCTATGATTGTAATTTACCTTTTTACATTAATTTTAGTTTATCGTTGATTATTTCATATGTTTTTATTAATTTAATATTTTTATTCTAAGGATTACACCTCAAAATTCCTTGAGGCTTATGCCTTTCCTCACAAAAAAAAAAAAAAATCACCTCAATATAAAATTGCACAATTCAAACCTTACTCAACTTGCAATCAAAGAAGAAGCCTAATAAATAATATCAACCATTACTCTCTCACATGAATATTCTTCTCACATCAAGCCCTAGAGGAGCAGTTTTAAGATATTTCCATGAAGAAACTTTGTGGGAAATAGCCTTTTTAATTTTAGCAGACAATGTTTCTTGGTAATCATAAGTGCCCCCAAATAAGCATTCATTCCTTGCCCTCCAAAGATGATAAATAACATCACATGAACTTAACATAAAGTAGCTAAGATGGTAACAAGAAATCCCTTAATCATAAATGCTCTCAAAAACTTGGTGGAGGTACAACCTTAAAAGGAAATCACCCAGCCAGGGAATAAAGCCTTTAATAATTTTGAAAGTAAAATTGCATTCAAAGAAAAGGTGGCTGTGAGACTCCGGCTCAGAGAAACAAAATCAACACCTATTATTAGTGTGAATCCCTCGGGAAGCAATAACATAAAAAGTTTTAAGACCACCTTTAAACACAAACCAATAAAAAGCAAAAAAATGAAGAGCCGACTTTTTAAACGAGATGAATCTTTGCCAAGATATGGTATGTAGAGAGGAGTAATGTTGTGAGTGAAAGTTTTTAAACATCGGTTTTTGAGAGCGCAACAAAAAATGAGAAGAGAATTGTTGCTCAATATTAATAGCTTGGATTTTTGTTGTAGCAACACTGTCAAAACAAGAAGGTAGTGACCATGTAGAATGAACACTGAGCATAGAAACTTCCCAGTTCTGAAGCTCAAAGAAATCGTGATCAGTGATACGGTTACCTAGCAGCTTAGAAATAGAGAGACCATCAAACAAGGGGTCGCAAAGTAATGAAAGGATGTTGTAGGGATGGACAGTAAAAGAGATATAATTCATGATGTTCCCAGTAGTATTGCACAAAAGGTTCCAGTAGGGAGAGCAATGAGAAGTGTGATTTTTTAGAGAGAACAATACTTTTGACGCCACCAGTCAAACAACAAATTATTGGAGTAAAGGAACCTCCAGATAAGGGAAGCAAAGAAAGCATGGTAGAGAGATTCAATAGAAAGAATACCCAAACCACCATACATCTTGGGCAAGCAGGTATCTTTCCAAGCAATTGTATGCAGTTTCTTTAAATTAATGTTGCCAAACAAAGAGATAGGAGTAGTAAGGATTTAGTTCAAGTGAATTGTATTAAGGATGAAGATCAAAAAGTACTTTTCTTAGAAGATGATATTCAACAAAGGTGGATGAGATATTTTTCTAAACTTTTTAATAAAGAATGTGAAAATATGATTGATTGTAATGACCTTAGCACTCTAAATGTAAACAAAGATTTATATTTTTATCGGCATTTTAGTAAAATTGAAGTTAAAGAAGCTTTAAAGAAAATGAAGGGTGGAAAAGTTGTTGGACATGATGATATTCCAATAGAGGTGTGGAAATGCTTAGGATATGAAGGAATTTCTTGGCTTACTAAACTTTTTAATACTATTTTGAAGACTAAAAAGATGCCAAATGAGTGGAGATTGAGTGTGTTAATTCCAATTTAGGAATAAAGGTGATGCACAAGCTTGTGCGAATTATAGAGGAATTAAGTTAATGTGTCATACTTTAAAACTATGGGAGCGAGTTATGGAGCATAGGTTGCAGCGTGTTACTAATGTTTCTCAAAATCAAATTGGATTCATGCCGGGTAGGTCGACTTTGGAAGCCATACATTTATTAAGGGGCTTGATGGAGAAATATAGAGAAAATAAAGAGGATCTACATATGATATTTATTGATTTAGAAAAAGCATATGATAAAGTTCCAAGAGAAGTGCTATGGAGAGTTCTTGAAAGAAAAGGAGTTAATACCACTTATATTCAAACAACTAAAGACATGTATGTAGGGGCTATTACTTTTTAGCAAACACAAGGTTGTTTGACTAAGTATTTCCCTATTTCGGTTGGGTTACATCAAGGATCAGCCTTAAGCCCATATCTTTTTTTCTTTAGTCATGGATGTTTTCACTAGACCTTTACAAGAGGATGCACCTTGGTGTATGCTTTTTGCTGGTGATATTCTTCTTGCTGATAAGACTAGAGAGGGAGTTGAAGGTAAACTTGAATTATGGAGGTCAACCTTAGAGTCTAAAGGTTTTCGCTTGAGTAAATCTAAAATGGAATATATGGAGTGTAATTTTAGTAGGAATAGACCTAGTGAAGGGATTGTGACTTTGGGCAATCAAGTCATTAATAAGAGTACACGTTTTAGATATCTTGAATCTATTGTTCAGAGTGATAGTGAAATAGATGGGGATATTATCAGCAGAATTCAAGTTGGATGGTTGAAGTGGAGGAATGCATCAGGCTTATTGTGCGATAAAAAAGTACCCCTCAAATATAAGGGAAAATTCTATAACATGGTGGTGAGGCCTGCAATGCTTTATGTTGCCGAATGTTGGCCATTAAAAGAGAAGCATAATACTAAGTTAAGTGTGGCAGAGATGAGGATGCTCTTGTGGATGAGTGACTTTACCCTTTGAGATAGAATATGAAATGAGCATATACGTGAAAAGGTTGGAGTTGCTCCAGTAGAAGATAAGATTAGAGAGAGTCGCCTTAGATGATTTGGTCACATAAAACGACAGCCTTCCGATGACCCAATTAGGAAAGTAGAGGTATTAGATTTGACTTATGTTAAGAAAAATAAAGGCAGTGAAAATTAAAACTTTATATTTTCCTTGATGTAACCCAACCGAAATAAAAATAAAAACTTTACATTTATCAATTAAAACTTTATATTTTCCTTAATAAAAATTCGCATTTCTTATCCTTGAAATGGACTGAAGCAAATCCCGCAGTTTCAATTCTTGCCGGTCAATCCAAATTGTATGGTTAAGGATTTGAAGTTTAAAAACAAGGCCAGCTGTAAGAAAATCGCTCCTAATTTCAAACAGTAAACTTTGAACATCCATACTGCATTTGATGCCTAAACTTATTTAATGCATTATGTGCGGATTGCAATATAATTAATTGCAATGAAACTGAACCCATATTGGTAGTAGTAGATGATGACCTTATGTTATGATGGGTTCAATAGAAGAGCAATCAATTTAACATGGAAAAACTGAAAGATTTAAGCTTTGTATGAGACCGTTTTCTTACTGTTTTCTACAACAATTTTTTATAATAAAAATTTCTTGAAAAAATGAAAAAAAAAAAAAAACTCCAAGGCTTTATTACCATACTACAGTATTTGTTTGGAAATTTAAAGGTTTTGATTCCGGATGGTGTCCACTGCTAACGCTTTGAACGAGTAATGATTTGCAAAACAAACGAGAAAAAAAATTTATGCTACCAGTTTGTTTCATGAAGACAAACCTGATGGCAATTTTCTTAGGTTCACAAACAAGCATCTGCGTTCTCGAGTCGATGTAACCCAAAAAGAACGTCAGAACTATGTCGATTGCGAAGAAGAGATCCACAATGGTATCAGCAATGCAAAGACCACCTTTTGCAACTGCTTCCATAAAGGCAACCTCAAAGGGGTAAACCCACGCAGAGTAAGCCACCAATATCACCATAAATGTCTCCCAGCACCTGCAAGTATTGATTTACAGGTCAATTCTCTTCTAGCTTAGCTCAAAAGCTAAATAATTGCATCTCTGTTGCTCCTAAAAAATATTCTTTACATTTTGAACTCAAATGGTCCACATGAGTTATAACAATTAATATAAAAACTTCAGGAAACATACTGAAATACTACTCGAGCAGAGAAACCTTCTTCTTACCTATATTTTGAATCTAACGGTGAAATAATATTTTTGCATAGATCTCCTGACGAGCTCTGATTGTAGCCTGCAACACCAAGGGGAGGAAGTATGAGCTTGGAGAGGCCCCGAAGGTTAAGTGATGACTGCTTATGCTTGTACTCAGGCTTCAACTGCTCATCCCCTTCCTTGGAGCTCGGCTCTGAAAGCATTTCCATCTTAATTTGTAGAAATATCTTTTAAACTTGTCAGCAAAATAATCATCTGGAACTGAGTTCTAAAAGCATTTCCATGTTAATTTCTACAAAAACCTCTTCAGCTTAGCTGCAACATAAGCATATCCTCCATTGAAGAAAAAGAGAAACAAAAATGAAAGGGAAAGGATCCAAGTTGTGGAGGAGATCAGCCTCAAATAATTGAGTGATGGCAGAGAACAAACAACTGGACCTAACTTGCAACCTGACCAATAGCTTGTAAATAACAGGTTGCTTTTTGGTTGAGATGGACAAATAAATCATTAAGTATGTGATTCGAATATATATTTATGTATCTATATAACATATTAACATCATTATATAATAATGTAACCTCTAAATGAAATAAAAAATATTTTAAAAAGCTGAGAATTAGGTACAATAATCTGTGATACAATATTATAAATGTTTAACATGCTGAGAATTAGGTACAATAATTTATGACTTACCGACATGCGAGGTGATGAATAGAAGAAGATGACAAAGGATGATGGGGCCATGTGGCCCCTGATTTTGGTACCTGTAAGTTGAGATTAGATAATTATGACCACTATAATTGTTGGGGTATCGTACGCCATGAAAAGAAGGCGCTGGTGGCACCAAGAACCATTATTGCACGATTGGATTGGAGCATAAATTCAATTAGGATTCATTAGCCATAAATAATATTCTATATGAGAGTAGGACGACATAACATGCGCAAAATGTTCAAGCATATATAAAGAGGGTATAAGTGAGCCAAATTGTCTCGAGCTCGATTCGTTAACGAGCTAAAGAGTCGAGCATATTGAGCTATGAGTTTGATCTAGAGCTCATGCTCTAGCTAAGTCTGGCATTGGTCGAAAGCACGTTAAGCCGCTTGGTAACTTAAATATATTTAACAATTAATTTAAATTAGTGTTATATAATGATTTTAATTTTTTAAAATTAGGGCAAAAAGTAAAAACATAAATTTAAAATTAAGAAATTAAGCTCAACAATTGATAAAGTTTGTGTTTTCCAATCGAACTCGAGCCTTTAAAATGTTTAACATGTTGAGTTCGAGTAATGTAAATGAGCTCGAGCTTAGTAAACAAGGAGCTCGAGCTCATGCTTGGTAAAAACTAAGCAAGCTTAGCTCTTTTATATATATATATATATAATATATATTTTTGAGAAATTACGAGTAGCACCCAAACACACACATACAACACATACGCGAGACTCAAACTCAAGACCTCTTAGTTGGGAGCAAAACTCCCAATCAACAAACTAAGGAGAGTTGCGTTAAGCAAGCTTAGCTCGATTTTTTAGATACTAGACTACACTCATTTACAAAACCTAAATATAAATAATAAAGAAAAAATAAAATGCAACCAAAGAGATGTTTAGATTTAAGTTGTTTAGCTTCAATTAACACTCAGGTTTTGTTTGAGATATTTTTCTTATTGCTCTATGCAACAGTATTTTATCATAAAAATTTCTTGATTGTAGCAAAAAAAAATAGTCATCAAAAGCTATCCCAAATGAAACCTAAATAAATAAAAGTTGATATAGATATGAATTCAATAATAAGAAAATCGCAATTATGTTGTACAAATTAAAAGTTATCACCAATTCTATCCAAAATCTTAGGTACACCCACACATAAAGTAGAAGAAGAAAAATAAGTGGTTCAAAATGTGACAATATAGAGATACCCCTATACACTTAAAATCATGCTCTTTCATGGAACACAGAACGCTAGTATATAAATTTTGTTTAATCTATAAGAACCTGATTGACCTAATTTATATTAGGATTAGCCCTAATTTATATTAGGATTAGCATAATTTTCATTTTGTCATACCATTTACAAAAGCATTTCATCACATTAGAATTTAAAGTTAGAGTCAATATGTTATGCACACAATTCAAATAAAATGAACTAACTCCCTCTGCATTTATGTTGCATGTAGCCAATATATGGTGACACCTAGGGGTGTAAATAAGTTGAGTGGCTCAAGAGCTAGCTCTAATACGGCTCACTAATGATCTCATCAACAACAAGCTCAAGCTTTATTAGTGATAATATATTATTGAGCTCATTGAGACTATGTTTATTAGCTTATGATTTGGATTAAGTGAATAATAAATCATAAATCTCATTTCATTCTCAACCATTAGATTCATTGTTTCCTTCAATTCTATCTCCAACTTGAAACTTAGTTTCATCTCATGAACTGCTCTTCCTCTTCAATAAATAGTGTTGGTCCTATCGAGGTCTTCTCCAACGAGCTCCCATAGCAATCCTAGGAAATAATTCTGCCAATGCACATCCATGAGTTCTCATCATGATTCAGATCATTATCATAATTGCATCCTTGTATTAGTTCTTATTACAACTTCTCTTCCCATCAATATCTTGTTGGCTGCAACGACTTACTTGCAATTATTGCATTCTCTTACTTTGCCTTAAGCTCACTAGTCAAGCGTGCTATTATTCCGATGAGCTAAGCTTAAGCTTGAACCAGAGTTTGAGCATATATTGGGTTAGTCGTGAATCAAGGTTGAATCAACTCATTTACACCCTTAGTGCTACTTATATACCATTTAGGGTGTTAGTGAGTCAAGTCAAGTCACGAGCTGGCAACAATGGACGGTCTATTTATAAATTATCCAAATTGATTAAGCTTTTAATTCACCAAAAAAGTATGACGGGATGAGTTTAAAATGCATGAAAATATTACTATGCATTTCTTTTCACCCAACCAACCACCTAATTTCTGAAAACCCTTTCAAAATGATTACAATTCATAAGTGCAACCCCTGGACCTACTTAGACTATTTTTATTCCATCAGCCCTTGGACTAGCCTATACACATCATAGAGATCTTATGAAACTTTCTAATGATCCTAGGTAGGTAATGAACTCACCAAGTCAATCTTGGTTCAACCTTAGGCCAAACCCTATAGCTATCCAAAATTATATAAATACCCCAAACCTTTGGTTTTTTCCTAGATAACAATTGGCCCTATAACATACCCTAGAGGCCATGGACCTCAGGTTGGACCCATCTTAGCAGTCAAAGAGTGTTGGTAAATTCCTTTTAACCCTTGGTCAAAGATGTTTTGACCAATGTGAAACCTTAAGCTCTAAAATTATCTACAACCTAAAATTGTCATTTAGCTTGGGAATTGAGTTCAAACACTCTTAAGCTCCCTTAAGAATATTTTGACATAGGTTTGACCTATTATCAAACTATTCATACCATAATTAGCCTAATCTTGACCCAAAGATCCTAAAACCTTAAAATTAGAATAACATTTGCCTATAGAGGTGGTTTTAAATAATTTTAATTCATTTTAGGGCAATTTACAACCATTTATAATCTCACTAGTCTTATGGGGTCCAACACTAAGGAGCTATCAAATATTTATATTATATTTTATTTTTACTTAGTTCTTCAAAATTATGCACAACAAAATCATAATTTTAAGGAAACAATCATGTATAACAGCTCTCCAAACATCATATTTATTTCTCCATGGTGATTCATCTCAAAATTCTTTCTCTTTTACATTAATAGTTATTGCCATTAAACCCTCCTTTAACTTTATGGAGCCAACTAACTAATTGTGGAAAAATAAGCTATAGATTTTAAAATTTTATTTTTGTAATCAAATATGGCATGGAGAATAATATACTTTCTAAAAAAATAGAAATCATGTTCTTCGAAGGATTCAAAAATAAAAATATGATTTTAGAAAAATTTCTATGTTCCTAAAGATTTTCCCTTACCTAATGTCAGCAAGAAAAGTTTTTTTTTTTTTTTTTTTTTTTTTTTTTTTTTTTTTTTGTGGTACAAGTTCCTAATAAAACCATGCCCTTATGTTTAGTTACATCCCCATGGAGGAAATCTCTTAAAAACACCCTAAATTAAAATAGTGGATAATATTTTTTGGATTTCAAGGTCTAGATAAAGGATGCATTTTAGAAATTCCCATCTAGTGTGAGTAAGAGAGGATTTAATTTATTCTAAAGTACACGCTCCAAATAAAGCCATAACATTATGATTAATTACACCCCAAAAGTGGTGATCTATGGTGAATACTCTCGATTAAAGTAATGAAAATAGTTTAGGATTTTAAAGTTCATATAAAGGATGTTTTTAGAAATTCAAATGGGTGATTCAAATTGGACAAATTATTTCCAAGAGTCAAAGAAGGAAGAGCATAGACCACCAGATTTTGAGCAACTCAAAAGTATGTGAGAATTAGTAAACCAATCTCAAACTAGAAAGAGTGGACTTATGATATAGTAAATTAATCTCAAACTTTAAAACTAAGGTGATTTGTAAAGTATAATAACTTGAACCAAACTCTAAGGTATTGTCATCGGATTTTCAACTTTAACCCTTTTAGAGGTTTGGACCCTATCCTTACTTCTATCAGCTTTTATAAAAATTTTAAACTTTAATTGTTTGATACCGTTCATATATTCTACAACATGTTGATTTTTCTCAAACACATAGGATTCATACACTAAAGATGATTCCAAATGTATATGTATTATAGATTCCTTTATTTGTATCCTCTTTTTCATTTTTTTTACTATTTCATTTTGTCATCCTCTACCTCCCCCTCAAGATTGTTGAGCCCTTTTAACACCTCTTTGTGAAGGAGGAGCCGGATGCAAGCAAACATCATGTTTGAGATCTCGATGCTTTTCTTTTTCTTTTTCTTCTTTTTCTACTTCTATTCCTTTCTTATTTTTTCTTCTACTTTGACAAGTTTGTAGTTTTTGGAGTAGATTGTTTACTTTTAGGCAGATAATATAAAGTATCTTTGTATATTCTAGCTTCATGAATTAAAAATTATTTCAAATCACCATTAATATAGTGCTCAACTCCTTTATGAAAGTATTTGTTACATTGATGATGAGTGGAAGGCTCCATTGTATTTTCACAGAGCCAGGGTCTACTCAAGAGTGTTAAAAGAAGCCTTGTAATCTATTATTTAAAATTTGGCATCAACTTTTAGGCTTTTGATTTCTAAGAGAAGGTAACTAAGCTCAAAGCTCTCTCACCTTTTCATTGAAGCCTCACAATATCATTTTATTATAATTGAATTTGTGAGTGTCCACTTTTAAATAAGCAAATATTATAATTGTTATTTTATTAATCGATGCACCCGATTCAATAAGGACACAAGAGAATTTAAAGTTGTCTATATTTATAGAGATATACAACGTTTGATTATGAT